GTTTACAGCAGGGAGATGCTTTCATTCACAGCTACAGCTTAACTAAATACTAGACAACTAAGTTTATTTACTCCCACTTAAAATATATCCAGTGCTCTGGATGACTGCATCTCAAATGAGGCATAGGAAACATGCACGTTTCTGAATAAAAGGAATTCAGAATTTGATGCATTTTGAAGCTTTGCTTCAAAATAAGTTATTATTTGGTTACTTTTGCATCCATCTCCCTTCATTTGCAAGTAAAAAGATGCTTCACCTGGCCATCCAAATAGTATATTCAAACAAAATATCCCAGGACATAAACAGCTGTGCTCTTCTGACCTGTGTTTACGAACAATAAATGTTATCTAAAGTGCACAGGCTGTATATAACTGTCTGTACCCTTATACCTAAGCATGTCTGTAGATTTAATGGGCATATTCAGGTATAATGCAGATCAGAACCCAGTCACATAACTCTTAATTGATTTAAAATTAAATGGATGGTAACAGTGCCAGAAGACAATTTAGTTTGCTCTCTTTCATACTGCGCTGAAGTTGTTTGGTTTTCTTAAAAGAAATAGAACTGATAATTGTCACTACAGTAAGTAAATATGCCTGAATACATGCAGAAAGCAGATCTATTGGGTAAGAAGGTTACAGAATCTCATTTTGTGGTCCATCTGCTCCCTCTTTGCTTCCCAAGCCAACAGACACTAATCTGGGATGAAGAAACTGACAGGACATGGGGGAGGAGTAGACGGTCACGATTCCGACTCATTGCAGCTTTTTGATATATGTGCTTATGCCACTGTGATATAATAGAAGGAAAATAATGCAGTGGAGTCAGGAGGACAATTCAAACAATTACGTATTACAGCAGCATTTTACTATTCAAGACTTTCTCATTATTTCAGTGCAATTCATATATTTTACCCCTGAGATCGGAGAGCTCAAAATTAATGTTCAAAGGGAAAAAGATGCATGGCTGGAAAAGGTTGTTAAGATAATCATAAGCTGAAATAAACAGTAAAATAATCAGATTGAGCTAAGAAAAGTGTCCAGGGTACTCCTGTTGTTTTTTTTCCTTTTTTCCTAATTTGCATCTATGCTGATGGTCTTGAAGAAAATGTGAACATAATCCCAATAAAAATGTTCTAGCCACCTTAACACGAAAAAACACTGCAAGAGGATGAAAACTAAACACAAAAGAGCTAAGGATGAAAACAAAAATCAAAGCCACAGACCATCAGTGAGAAAGACAAAGCCGAAGTGGCAGTGTGGTTAACCATGGATGGCAAATGAGAAAGGCATGTGTTGTGTGACTGTGCAGTAGTGAAAATACAGCCAATGGAGCTATATCGTGTCACTTCCATCTCTAAGCAGCTCGGCAACAACAGGACTGCCAGTCCTGATTTCTAATTCTGGGCACCTTGTCATCAGAAAGATCATCATAAATAGAAATAAGTTTGTACAAGAAACAAGAAGGAGCAAAGAAAAAAAGAGATAAAAAGAGATACACGTGTATAGCTTGGCTTAACTATAATTCAGATACAAGACACGTACAAATAATTTAAGCATGCTAACACTCCACTGAAAGTGGTAAGTTCTTCAGGGCAGTAAAAGAGAAGTATCACTATCATTCTGGATAAGTACTATGAAGAAGTTAGAAAAAATAAAGCTGTTGTCAGTGGAAAAGTGAGTCTTACGGTTAAAGCACCTAACCCAAGAATTTTAAATCGTTTTGACCACACAATGTGAAGCACTGACACAGTGTAAGGCCCCTCTCCTTCATGGAAGCTGTTCATACTTTCTGAAAGGGTAACTTTAGCCCACATCAGAGACTGTGGAGGTGCATAAAAATGACTGGACTCCCCTCATCTAACCATGGACTCTTCATGGGTCCTTTCTTACCCCTTTCCACTCCCAAAAGCTACCTGGCTGTCCCTTGGATGTGGTTCCCTCCCTTATGTGCAGAGCCAGCTGACTCAATTGCTTACAATTGCAACCCAAGTCAACCACACCAACCTGTAGCACAGTGCTGCCAATCACCAGTGTCAGGGCTGAGTGCACGTGCCTTGTGGATACTTTAGGATACTGGAGCAGCAGGCAGTCAAGGGAAAGCTTTGAGCCTATGAAATGGTCAAGGGCAATGGCAGAAGTTCAAGATCAGCATTACAAGAAGCTTGCCTGCATCCTAACAAGGACACAAACACAACTTCAAACACAAAAGGAAGTTCCCTGAAGAAAGAAGTCCTTTGACTGAGGACAACTCAGCTCTTTCCAGAAGAGGCTAATGAGCACACCATAGATGGAGAAGAGATGACTGGAGGTAACCTCTTTGAAGCATTGGTTTCCCAAGATATCCAGAAATTGGCTTGACTTCCATGTCCCCCAGTGTGAAAGCAATGTTTGGAGGCCCTTTGTTTTGCATTTTTTCTGTGCGTGCTGAGAAGCGCTGGGCAAAAAGGTAACTTTTTTTCATCTTTGTTCTCCCTCACACACATATATAGCTGTCTCAACCTTGCATACTCCCAAACAGCCCTTGCCCTGGAACAGGATCTAAACTTTCCAGTGTCTAAGCCCTTTCTTTTTTTGGGCTTGGTCTCCCTAGGATTAATGGTAATGAATCCCATGGTATTGATTTTGTGAAAGCCAAGAATTTCATAGCAAAGCCCATACATAATTACAGATCATCCTCTCAACTTCATCTAATGCATCAGAATGTATAAAAATCAAACCTGAAATTGAGACAACAAAAGGGATTCCCAGCACAGCAAGCTTTTCCAGAGAAACTTGGGCAGATCTCTGCTCTTCTGGTTTAATGCACCACAGGCACAGTATGCAACTGCAGAATAAGGGTATGCTTGGCATGAGCGAAGATGCACGTTCATCAGCCTACAATACCATGGATCCAAGTCACATCCTCCGATCTGTGTGGTGCCTTCAAGTGGTCAGTGATCACCAAAAAGTCAATCTAAGCTTCCTCTCCTCACTTGCTTGTACCTTGGAAGCTGGTCTTGATCCATTCATCTCTTACCGAAGCTGTCAGTAATTCTCTGCTCCTAGCAGTATGAAGAAAATAACTTCCCCCTTCTATCTACACTGGATCAGGAATCCCTGGAATGGGATGCAGTGTCTTTGTGTTGGATTTTCTCACAAATGGATTGGATTCTTTCATCAATATGCCCTGTTGCTTTTTGGATCCATGTTCATTTCTACACTATCAAGAGGGAAAAGCGCCTAACTATGCATTGTGTGAAACCAAGGTGCTTTTCGATTTGCTTGGAATGTGCCACTTGATAATTTTTCTTGTTTGAAGCATCTTGGCATCTGCAGCCAAAGCCAGACAACTCAAGGACACAGCTGGTCCTACAGGCTCTAGAGAAAGCCTGGGAACAAAACCAGGGCTGCAGTGGTCAAAGTAGACTCAACAGAGTGAACGTGCAAAATCCAACTTGGCAGAAACAGCCATCATGAGTGTGGAGCACAGCTAGGCTTCAGTGTGTGCCTCAGTGGAAAAGTTAAGTGCCTTAAGTTTAGAGGTTAGCTAATGAATAATACAGGAACAACACTTTCTCCTCCTCAAAATCCCATGTACAGCCTTTAGATCTTGGCCCTCCTGTGAGGGCCAAGAGCTTTGCTGACTTTCACTTTGCAGCCCTGAATGTTGGTAGTGTAGCAGGGAAAGCTGAGCAATCATTAGCTTCCAGGTGCTCACGGTAGTGTTTTTGTTCACTCTTTGCAGGGGAGTTCATCAGCTATGAACATGGTCCCTCTCATCTTCCAGCTCTTGCTCTGCTGCTGAGCCCTCACCATGCTGCTGCAGGACCTCCTGTTGACAGGCACTGGAGTGCTCTGTAAGCCCAATTCCACCTGCAGCCTCTCCCAGTGCATGGTCTGGACAGCATAGTAGGTGATACTTGAGGCTGGGGACTCTGAGTGCAGACAATTTCCCACCTGTAGGGTCTTTGCTGTTTCCTGGTATGTGCTTCTGTAGCTTGTGAGCTGTTGAAAAGCAAATGACATCCTGAAAACAGCTCAGAGTTTCTCTGGCAGGTTATCTGATGTGGTGGTCAGTGCCTCATACTGCAGCGGGGGCAAGCCAAACACAGCGGGGCAGGGGATGCTGTGCACCAGAGCCATGTCTGATTCTGGCAAAATACCTGCTCAGTGGATGTGCCTGATCCAGAGCTGCATCCACTGACTCAGCAGTGATCCTGCAGTGCCAGCCTGGGAGTCATTGGCTTGAGAAGGAGTTGGCTACTGGAGTGGTGAGACCCGACAGGTGGCATGCAGATGGAAAGGAGTTAAAGCTCTATTGTTTGCTGCTCTTTGATTCACTGCAAATTCCTTTATGGGGAAGTTAAAAAATATGATGTCTTCTTCTAGACCAAAGATCTGGGTTTGGAAGATCATGAAATACTTCAGTATTTCAGTTTATAGTGACTTCAGCTTGTAATGATAATCCAGTTTATAGGGACGTAAAGACTAAACAAAACAAAAAACTTTGGAAAAATTCAAATTCTGCTCCTCTGAACATCCATCTTGGGACCCATCTTTTGATACAGCCAAGGACTGGAACTCTGAGGTGATTTCTCTTAGCTTGTGGCTCTTTTCTTTTAGCTTCACACAGCTATTTACTACTGCATATTTTGGTTCAAGTCCAGGTATCTGTCCTGAAAACAGGATGCATGACATCTAAAATCCAGGCAAGTCAAAGCAGTGGAAGGATTTACTGCTCCTGGTAAATTACCAGATGCAGTAACTTCTCAAGAAGGAAGCAATGCCAGTCAAAACAACATAGGTGGATGGGGTGAAGGAGCTGAGTAATCCATCCTAACTGTGCAGACCTAGAAGGAACTGCTGCCAACAATACATGTAAAAGAAACTAGTTCTTGTGAAATGCACCCTGAAGACAGTTATAAACAGAAATAACATGAAAACATGGGTGTCCAGATTAATGAAATAAAAGCAAAAGCAATTTTGATAGTTTCATAGTTTTTTTCTTTTTTTCTGCAGGGAAATCAAAATACAGAGTTTTTAAAGGAGAACCCAAACAAACCTATATGCTTTAGGTCCAATATATTTAGCAATAGCCTAATTTAAGAGATTTAAATGGAGCTTTACACAAGTGTTGGAGAAGAACCTAGCCCCCTTGGTTCAGCCTCCACGGGGCTAGTGTCCTCCTCTGCCCAGCACCGGACTTCCACCCTTCCCACCAAAATAATGTTTGCTTGCCAATAGCTCTTTCTCCAAGAGATGTAAACGGGCCCTTGTTTGAGCTCGTCACAGATTCAGCTTTATTCTTTTATCTTCAGTAATTTGGAGATTTTTTTTCCCCTGCACATAGTTTCTATGTTCCACTCGCTGCTATTTGCTAGAGAAAGACTCTTGGGCTTTTTGCCCTTTGTATTTCCTCTCTTCTTTCATGTGGAGAAGACTGCCAACGTGGGATTTGCAAACTGCTGCCAATATGGGATTTGTGCTGCTGCGGCTGCCAATCTTTAATTTAGCATATGTATAAAGCTAATTTTTGGACACGATGCTAGTGCCTGGCATCTCTGCAGGAGTCAGCCAGGTTGTAATGTTTGTATTGTACTGCACTATAAAAAACAATAAAAAGAAAATATAAAGGAAAAAGCCTTTTATCTCTAGCTTTATAGTACAGATATGGTCTAAATAGTTGTATTCTCTCTCTGCATCTAAAATTCGCTTCCTCCTTTCTGTGCTGTAACCCTTTCTTTTAGATTTGCAGTTTGTATTGCCTGCAGTAGGAGCCAATGATAGACTTCTGCTCCCTACTGAGCATATCTTCATATTAAAATGTATAAATGCAACTCTTTAGCTGAAGAAAAAAGACTAGTTTCCCTTTAATTATATTTAAACTACAGTCATATGCGCAGAGTAATACTTTCTCCCTTTTTTTTACATTTTAATACAGAGAGTTGGAGAAAAAAAGAATCTAATCATTCAGGAAACATCTTTCTTACAGAAAACATAAGCTTGACTACCCTTCTTTGGCAAGGATATCTGCTGTTCGGGAGGAGGTTCCTGCCATGAATCCTCTAAAATACGGCAGTGCCGTTTCGGCTCCAGCGCAGGAGTGGGAGTGAGCTGAACATTGCATCCTTAAGCCCCCAGTACAGAGGACCCCACACAGCCCTGGGGAGCTCCTCGGTCATGCCCCAAGAGCAGGAAAAGGGGAAAGCTGCCAGGGAAACTGGAGCTGTTGGGGGGGACAAAGAGGAGCAGCTTTATGCTGTCCCATGATGGTGGCTATAGCAGGACAAAGGCTATAATAGGGTGGTATGGTTTCTAGTGGTCCTAGATGGATTTATAGGAAGAGAGATTCATAGCAAGAGCATCCAGTGACAGCTCACAGCCCTTCCTTACAGAGGGAATTTACTAAACCTGTACCTAAACCTATTCCAGCCCTTGTACTTGAAGGGTAGATGTTCAACAGAAGAAGTACAGGCACGAAGAAAACTCCAGAGAACGGGCTATGGTTTGGAAGAGCATGACAAACCACAAGAGTGGCAAACTGAGATGGTGACTTCAAGTAAGGCCTGCTGAATGCATCCAGTCTAAGCATCTTTCCTTAAATGCAGGAGAAAAATCAGCAGACAAACACAGAGAAATACAAGGGATTTGTACTCTTGGTTTTTACAAATATTTAGTATTCCTATGGTCTGCAGAATCTATTTTGATTGTTTTTTTTTCTTATCAACAGAGATTTTTGCAATTTCTTGTTCCATGATATGTATTAGACAGAGGAAAATGGTACTGCAGTGTCCTGGCATCATTTTATCATTTTAATTACTGAGCTCTAAATTACCCCATCTACAGAAGTCCACAATATAGCATTGACTACCCAGTAATAGAAGGTAGTTTTTCCGCACGGCTAGACTGGTATTTTCTAAGAAGGAGATCTGCTAGCTTGCCTACTTTCACAGCGGCAGTGCCATGTGCTGTAATGAGACAGGATTATTGTTGCAACTGCTCTTGAAGGCCTTTCTCCCCAGGCAGCTGAAGAATGACTGAGTCATGCAGGTGATGCATTTGTTGTAATGAGATGGACAAAACCCCCAAACTCACATCCAGGCCTTCACTTGGCAGAGAACAATCCCTCACATACCCACACCTCTGGTAGAGGGAGGGGGGACAGAGATGGAGGGTGAGAATAAAACCACCAATGCTAGGAAAAAAACAAACAGAAAATATTACTATAAAAAAAAAGGGGGGGGGAGGGTGTCTAATGCTAATGCACCCTGCACAGCCATGCAGAAAACCCGGAGTTTGATTTCTAATCCCAGCCTCTTATTCCCCTGGCTGGCAGGGAGCACGCACAGGGTGGAAGGAGGTGCCGTGCATCATTCAGTGGCAGCCCCTCTGGCTGCCTAATGAAAGGGGTTGACAGGCTCTTGCGGGAGACCCATCCAGCCCTCTTTGGCTGGAAGGATGACGGCCTTGGCATGGAGCATCGCGCCACAGGAGGGGACTTTTTCCCAGTTTTATAAACCCCATCCCTGAGGCCCTGTGTTGCTGCCAACTTCTTCTGCCCAACGCACGACTGTCTAGGACTCCCTCTGGGGCTCATCCGCTGGTTGGAGAGGCTGTTATTGAGAAACACAGGATACACTCTCGCACAGTGTGCCGAGCCCGGACCACCCTCGCTGAGCTTCCCACACCTTCTGGCTCGGAGACCGAGCATCAGGGCTGGGAATGGTCACAAGAATAGTACCATTAATAGGAATCAGAAGCACAAAACAATTACTTATCTTGTGCTAGGAGTTTGTGAGGGGGGCATCGTGTGGAGCCCTCTGTAAGCTGGAAATCGGCTCTATTCCCAGAGCATCGGTGCATCAGAAAACCCTACTGACAGGCACCTCAGAAATATAGAAAGAATTAGCACTCTGAATGCCAGGATGCTGTTGCCAATGTGGTGCTCAACTTAGCAGCAGTGCTCTGAGCTCCCTTACCCTCTTCTGTCGTGGGAGGCAGAAGAAATGCCGTTATCTTTTCAGTGTCAAGTGTAACCGGACACACGTGGGACAAACTCTATTTTATAGACCTCCACATAGCTTTAGGATTACAATGCAAATGTTAATTTCCAATCTGTAGTGAAGGGGGAAGTTTTTCTGTACCCTTGCACTGCTTTGCAAACTCCTCTCCTGGGTGGCAGTGAATGTTGTTGGCTGCTTGGGGAACCATTCCTGGAAACTAAGGTCTCATTTCCACTCTGAGTACCTGCCATGGTTTGGATCAGTCATTTATTTCATAGCACATGGGGCTGCCCTCTGCTGCTATGAGCCAGTGGCATCTGAAGCTACTGGAGAAGCAAAGCAAGCAGTTGAGGATGTTTCAGGCCTGTCTACCAAGATAAAACGTACCACAGGTGGTGTTTTACCTGTGTCTGGCCCTTCCCTTCTGATTAAATCCCATGATTTATTAGGATTGCTTGATGCAAGCAGAGCCCAAGTGCCCCAATTTCCCTAACAAGGTATCATACAAGCTCATGCAAGGATTGTTCAGCCCCAAGACAAAAATATAATCCCTGGACTGAAAGCACAGGCCAGCGTCTGCGTCCAACCACTGGTGACTCTGCTATACCTGCCAGAAAAGGGACTGCCACTGAGTATTGTTGCTGTCAGAGAGTTAAAATCTTTGATAGCACCAACCAGGAATAAATCTGAACCCAGGGACAAGTAGTTAAACTGCATGCTGCAACACGTAAAACCTATTCAGAAGCCTGCACAAAAATAACCCAACCAAAACAACAACAAAGCTTTTCGGGAGGTCTTGTTATGACCTCATCATTGACCTGCTGATTCACCATTCAGTTGGGCAAAGGATTCATATGACACTAGTCTTTCCCAATCATGTGAGAAGGGTACCAAGTAAAATGGAGTCACTGGTGTGAAACATGAAATTATCCTCTCACATTTCATCTGTCAATTATTTCACATCAGCAGTCAGGGAAAACAGATGTAATGAACAGCTCATCATTCAAAACAATCACCCACTAAACCCAATTCCCTCACTAAATATATTCAGGGGAAGATCAGCCATGGTTAGATTTACACACAATATGAATCATGTTCAGTGGCTTGTTTTTTACCCTGGGTCACACCAGCCCATCTGTTCCCCACACCTCTGCGTTTGGGCAGCTGCCCATTCCCAGCCTGGGCCCCCTCACTGTACAACAGCATATGCAAAGGCAACTACGGTTAGAAGCACAGGACTTAACGTCACTTGATATCCTGGGCATCTACCTCTCCCGGTGTACCAGTGCACAAGAAAAACTATCTGTGCAGGACAATAAAATACCCAAAGGAGGAAATAAACACAGCACCATTATTATGTCCAAGGTAGATTGCAATCAACAGTGAAAGTGAGGGCACATCTAACATGAATGATAGAGCTTCATCAAAAAAATGACCGATGTTCCTAAAACCAATTCAAATCCAAAAATACATATTTAAAGGCAGGAAGACCCCTCAATTTTTTTTCCAGTGATTTTCTTCAAGTCTTAGCTCTTTACAACTACTGCCATCCTACCCACGTTATGACTTTAGGACTACTGAAGCCTAAATACTGCTGACAGTACCTCAGTGTAAGAAATACCTTAGAAATTGCACAGATGAGATAATTACCATTGCAGGTATTTAAAAATGCTTTTTAAAAACGTGCTGCTACGACTAATCAGGGAAGAAAAAGGGTATTTTGTGTTTCTCAAAGTATGACACACACCCCTATGACACAACAATTAAATGTGGAGTTTTTACATGCAGCCCTTTGCTGATGTGAATATGAGAAACGGATGCTGTAGGGTCAATGGAGCACTGCTGAAGCATGGGCAGTCACACAAGAGCGACGGTTCCTATCTAGTCGCACAAACACGCCAGCATACCGCGGCACCTCGGTGGTCTGGTTCCTCACTGATATTTCGGTTGTTCAGCTGCCACAGCTACAGGGTTTGAATTAAACACTAGTGCTCGGCGATGCTGATGCTCGCAGTCAAGCATATCTTGATGAAATTAGAGATGCAGAAAACATTTTTTGACAGAGTGCATGAGCAAAACCAGCCAGAAGTGCAGCCAGTTCAGTGCAAATGGCTCGTGCAGAGAGAGAGACCAAGGATATGCTGAAAATTGGACTCTCTGATTTTGGCAGGAAGAGGCGAATTTTATTAGCAATCTCTGCCGCAAACATAACTTTCCGACTATTAACAGTTTTTAGTTGCCAAAAGAAAATCACAATTTCTAATTGCTTCTCATCTCTTACATTTTATAATGGAAAACGAAAAAGAGAAAGGCAAGCAAACTTACATCTCCACTACATAAAATAGTAGGTAAGTAGAAAATACAGGAATATTCCAGTTTAACAAAATCTTCACAAATGTAAACACTTTACAACCTTCTGCCCAAACCTGGGCACCTGTAATTCAGCAACAATTTTGCAAACACGTATTAAGAATGTGCAGGAAAATATTGCAAAGTGTTGTAAATCAGCAGCAATTGGTGAAAATAAGGCTGGGTATTCTTAATGTTCCTATTTATTACGTAGTGTGCAGGGTCTTAAAAGTCTAAGGACACTTTGTTTCCTTGAAAGAAACATGTTCTGTTCTGATTTTCCCTTCA